TAATGAAAAATACGGAATGTTGGTGGTGTTCAGACAGCGGACGCCAACGTTTTTAACATTCACGCGCTTTGAATCTAATCCAATCCAATTTTCCTGCCTACCTTGTGAGACCTAAACCAAAGTCAGCAATTTTCCAGTTCGTTATGATAATCTTCGATCAGTATCAGAACCGCCCGCACGGCCTGCTCCTGTTCTTTCCGCCGCTAAACATATGTAACATGCAGTCGGAGCTTGCGAGCGCGCTGAATTTACAAACACCGAAACACAGCCACGGCGGCGGCGGCTACACACGGAACACGCGTTTTGATTTGGTAATCAGAGTGGTAGTGCAATTCCGGTGCCATGGGGTGTCTCCGCGCACTGGCGGCGAGTTATGTGCCTTTAGCACGGCATCCGCCGACGGGTAATAAGCGTGCGATTCGTGGGCATGGCAGAATCAAAGTAAAAACAAGAACAAAGTAACCTAATAGAATTAGAAAATGGAAAACCACCACCGAAGAAACAGAAAAACAACAATGCGAGCAATTTTCAAATTGCACGCAAGGTTGTTTCTTTGTCATTTGTTCCTGGAAATTAGAAGTGAAACAATCGCAGCACGCAACAATCATGAAAAAATTCATTTTTCATTCCCGGGTAGGTTATGTGGGCTAGCCGAGTTGATTTATCCACAATTTCCCATTGTCACATGTCATTTCCGTTGACGATGGATATATTTCGCAAGTTTCCGCATTTCCCGGCTTTCCCGCGTACCGTTTTAGGGCGTTACGCATGACGGTTGGGCCTTTTACTGAAATAGTTTCTCCGTCACGTCTGGTCTGCCCCCTCCTGCAAACCGCCCGATAGACGCACAACTGCAATCTGCCATATTTTTCTTTCTTCGCAAATCCTCATTTATTCTTTGTCTCAATGCGTGGTGTATCCGGCAAGCATTACAAGATGACAACATCTCTTAATACGCCCTCGGGCGACAGCGAAGAGGGTTTGTATCCACAATTGCGCTTGAGTTGCCAGTGGGCGATCATTACTGTAAGAGCGCAATAAATATTTGTGCACGCTTCCAGCGACACCCTCCGCAAATGACCGCAGTTCGAATGGCGAGTGCACCAAATCGGCGAAAACAAAATTAAGGCATTTCGAGGAGAAAACGTGATAAATCTCACATACGCCCATTGTTATGAGAGTAATGTTGTGTTTATGTTGACAAGTCCAAACTGAACGGAAGCAGCCAGCAGGATAAACTGGTCTGGAAAACTTGGGAAGTTTTGGAAGCGTCGTAATTTCTTCATTAATAAGTTTCTCTTTGTACTTGGTCGTTGAAGCGTGTGCATCATACATTTACAAAGTGATGCGTTGCACTCAGTCAATGTCTGGAATGTTTTGAGATCTCATGATCGTAATTTTTATTTACCGCGCGTACCTTGTTTATATTCTTTATGTTCATGTTTATAAAGTTGAGGCGGTTTGTAAAAGGTGCTAGGAATCGCTGTGGTGGTTTAGCCGATAGCTCTTCGCGGCGGAGTGCGGAGTGCAGCTACAAGTGTACAAAATCCCATGGCCCCCGATGTTATTTATGACCGCCTTTTGCCGCGCTGCTACGACGCCGACGTCTCCTCGCCCGGCGTCGCCGCCGCTCCCGTTTTACTCTCTTTGCGCGTTTTCCATTTACAACCCACACCCAACGCTCAAAACTTAAACATCCCCGAAAACAAGGCGCACATTATCAAAACGAAACCCTGCATTAAATTCGAATTGTATCTGCGATACAGTACCAAACCTAAAAAATTGCCTTTCCTAACCTCAACGTAGTCTCAAATTGAATTTTCGATTATTTGATCGTCGATCCAATCAATTCAAGCATTGACCCATGTGCGTGTGCATGATTCCCCGGCGTATTCCGGCACACCCATGGTTTTGCACCCCAACTAGCAAGACACCCCATTAGAGCCGACCCCAAACCCGGGACGACGGCCGGAAAAAAGGAGGAACCAAACGCGCAGCCATGACGCTCTATGACTAGTCACCCCGTCACGGCGATCGCTTCACAAAGTGCAACCTTATAATTTCGCACAATGGGAAAACGAACTGGAACCACCTCCGAGAATAAATCTCTCGCGTGTGATTCATCATGAAAAACTCCACTCCACTTCACATCATTATGAATAACAATATTATGCAATTACATAAATTATTTCATTAGTAACTCGACCACACCACTTGCTTTTGCACAATTAAACCAAGAAGAAAAAAATTAATTAAAACATAAACTAACCAATTTATTAGCACTGCGCTAAACATTTAATTAGAGTCACCGGTTTAAAGTCCTCGCAAAATTGTGCCAACTAATTAAATAATATTAAATAAAACACAAGGCGGGTACATAAATTATGCAATTTATGCTTGGAGACGCCAGAATACGAAATGTGCACGCACGCCAGACATTCGGACGTGATACCTAGTTAAGTGGTTCTTATCGATGGACGAAATCGTTTATTTTTTTACTACCTTGTCGCACTTACAGAGCCATGTTTCAAAACCCCTCCGAAGAACCATGCTTTTTGAACTCGTTGCTGTTTCACACCACTATCCAGATGCCCACCACGTTAGTCGAAACCTGAAGCCAGGTGCTAAACGCAACTGTTGTTTTCACATTGCCACCAAACACACTCGCTCACACATATTACTGCACTCAATAAAACTGAATCATTAATTAATAAATAACTTACATCACCTCACAAATTTTGCTACGTTTCCTTACGAGTACTAAAACTAGACTAACTTTTTGCGCTTCGATTTTAGTCTACTTTGAATATATGCACTTTCAAAAGAAACTTTCTCTGCACTGTTTTGTTGTAAATCCAACAAGTCACAACAAAATTACCCAATTTTGCAGCTTGCATGAAATAGCAGCCTGCACAAAAGATTTTATGACTTTAGGGTTTTTCAGAGGATTACGGTGGGGTTTCTAGGTGCAACTATTGGAACCAAACTTTCACTTTGCACTCAATTGCCACGTTTGCATTTTATTGCGCAACAAAACCTTCCAGGGGTTGAAGGGAAAGTCGCTACCTCTCTGCAAAATGGTAACGGTCCAGGTCATCAAAATCACGTTATTCATCTGTTTCTCTTACGTCTTTCTGAAATGCACTGGTGCCTATCCATCCAGTCGTTCCGCAGCTTTGATCCCAGACTGTGAGTCTGTACATTCCGTTAGCAGATAGTTAATTCATTTTTGTGAAAATTTCGCTTACGCAAGCATTGGAAAGCGGCGTTTTTGCCGTCATCCATTTAACGCTGGCAACGATCGCTGCAAAAATGTAGCCTTGAGGTTCCAGTTGAGTTTTCTTTTTCTCGTTTTGCCAAACTAGTTAAAAGGTGCAGTGTGTGCAATGTGCTCGTGTTCTACCGCAAAAAATCTCGGTTACATCAGACGTTGAAAAAGCGTGCAAATTCATCCCTGGAGGACCATCCAACAAAGCTCAGGTTTTCTCGAAATCCGCACTGAAGTTGCAATCGATATTGGTGAGAATTTAGTTTTTTTTTTTGTTTTTTGTTTTTAGTCGGTATCTTGAGCAATGAAAGTGTAATTTCATTTTAATTCATATGCGGGGCAATTTGTACAACACGCAGCTTATTGCAGCGCCTGCCGATAATCTTGGTAATCTCCATTCTTCGCCGCACGACGCTCGCCCGGATAGTTCGGGCGCCTTTGGTTGGCATTCGGCGTCGCGGCATCCGTGGAACGTTCGATTCATTTCGAGCGTCGAAGGCGTGCGATGCCTTCGATGGCGCGTGTATCGGGGATCGGATTAAAGTTTAAAGTGATATTTATGGCTTTTCATGCAAATGTAACGCTCTAATGTAATATAAGACGGAGTTTTCGGCGGCGAGTCCTACAAACGCGACACTTTGGCTACCAAGTGTACAACAAATCGAAATTTATCATTTTCATCACTACCATCAATAAATATATAATACACCCAATAATAAACCGCATAATTGTATCATATTTGTAACCAAATTTAAAGCAATTAATCAAATTAAAACCAAAATTTGATTTTTTAATTTTCTCGTGACATTAGGTGTAGAAATAAATGAAATCAAGCCGAACCATACCCGAAGTAAACCCCAAGAGTTTTACCCCGGGTTCACATACTTGCACCAACAAACTATCGCCTATTCCTTCATCTACATTCCTCGTTTGGCTCCACGGGTATTAGACAATCCCGATTGCGACGTTTCGCGCACATGCCAATTTACAAACGAGGAAACAAACCGAACGCGTCTTTGCAGTCGATAAATTTTATTTCTGCACACCCTCGTCGGGTCGGGGGCAGGATCCGCAAGCTTTTTCAATCGACCTTTTAACTCGCGTCCTTTAGTCCTTAGCCTTTAGTCGTACTACTACCCCTAGGATCTTCCACCCCCGACCGATACGATCAACATTTACATTTCGAATTTCATTTCAGTTTCAATTTCGTCGCCGCACACATTGATACATATGGTTAATTTAAAGCAGACCAATTGGTCCTCGACATAAGAATCGGATGAACGAGGAAAAGGCGGAACTTGTTAGGAGCGTTACATGCGCCTAGGTCCTTGCGGTACTTGTCAACGTTGTCCTTTGTAAACTTTCGTCCCTTGTCCGTTTGGTTGAATCCTTCTCTAAGCCAAAGTCGACGATAAATACACTACTCGATTTTGTAACAGGGAACCTTCATTTAATTTTTGATTTTACTCAAGTTTTCTGGGTAAATCGAAGCAAAGCGGAGTGTAAATGTGCGACCGCATCTAAAGAAGGTCCTAATTGCACGAAAGCCGGTCTGTCCCTTTGTCCTTTTGTTCAAGAACTCATCTAAATGTACGCGTAGGTTTGGTTGTTAATTACGCAGGGTTTTAATTCCCTACGGTCTATTAGACCCTTTTAACCACCCACGACACAGGTTCCATTGGACCGCAGAAGAATCATGATAGTTAGTGACGTGTATTTTGGTTGGACTTACCTTAAATGTCAGAGTGATGAAGATTTATCAAATTTCTTAATATATCCAATGGTTATGAGTTGAGTTGATTATATGTAATCCACTAAGTAATCCAAAGAGTAAATCCAATTGCACTAGTTTATAAAGCTGAAACAATAAAAAATAAAAATTAATATTCAGAAGATAAAGCATCGGAAAAATTTTTGTCTCAGAGCTTGAGGTATTGTTTTGGGATTGAGAGCCATCTATGAAGAGCTTTTAAAACGCTTTAGTTGTGACTATATGCCACTAGTGGCGTTCCGTGTGTTCCCAGCATGAGCTTTGAAACTTTCACTGATCCACACTTTAACAGCCCCTTTATTCCATCCCTTACACCATACACTTTACATTGCTTTGTCTCTGATTTTCATTGCCCTTTCATAGCTTATTCATCATTCTTTCGCTTCACGCGCTGCGCTCCCTTCTGTTTACATCTAAGGGATTCCGCGCTTTACGGAGTTTCCTCCGCTGATCGCGGCTTTTTATTTCATCACAACGGGCGGCATTTACGCCCGGCGTCGGCGGCTTCGTCGTCTTTGCCCAGCATCACGGCGTCGCGGCGCGAAACGTAAAAAATCCACGATGGTGCAAGCGCGCTTATTCCATGCTCCCGCCGTGCCACCCCACCACCGGACAACCACCTACTAGGCCTGCCAACTGTTCTTTTCTTCGCCACTGAATTATTACGGCCATAATTCATACAATTGCCGCCGCGTTTCGTCGGAAATACATTTATTTTTGTGCGCCGAACTAACACATTCATGGGGGACTATCGTTCCCCCCGAACGACCTCACCAACAACGAGCGTCAACATCGTGCTGCCGACACCCGCCGCCGCCGCCAGGCAAAAAAGCCACGTTTTCGGCTATTGTCTAACGTTATCTAGTTTATGCTTGGAAAATTTTGCAAAATATAGTTTTATTTGTGTTTACACAAAAAATTACCAACACGAACATCAAAAAACGCATGGAGAACAAAGCGAAAGAGGAGAGAACTTGCATGTTGCGAGTTTCCGGTGTTCGGCGCACCCGATTAAGAACCTTTTTTGCTTTGCCGCTTTAATAAAAACCCAATCAACTAACAAGGTCATAAATTATGGCAGCCAACATATTATTATGCCTTATGATGGTTCCAAATATGCAAACACCACCAAAACAATATTGGGTATTACAGTAATCATGCAAAATCAAAAAAAAGGGCAAAAATTCTTCCTTTTTAGCACCATTAGTAAAAAAATATTTTAAGATATTTGTTGGAATCCAAAACATAATCATAAAAATTATACATAATTCGAATCAAGTTATGAAAACCTTTTTCATCTCAACATCTGCCTTTTAATTATTGTGAACCTTTTGTTCCGAGAATTGAATCATCAAACAAAAAACCCAGGTAAAACACTTCAAACTCATTTGAGACGTTTTTAATCTAATGTATATCCGATGATGATTTATAGCCATTTAAAATTTAATTTAGATGTTGATTTATTCTCTTCAGCATTTGCATATTTCTACTTAGCGCAAGTATTTCAAGTGGGAATATGACTACCGCGTGTGTTTACGCAAACAGGTGTATACGATGCGTAGAATGTTTGAACAAACATTGCCCAACATCGACACTTCAAATACTCCAAATCCACATAAATATTCAACGCGTCCAACCCATTATGACATTCGTGAGTTTCGAAAACTGCCGCTTAGTTTAAAGAACCTATTAAACGCACAATCTACACATGTTAACATTAATTTCTGATAAACTTCTCAATTTCCAACCATTCTGCAGGTTAAAAACCGTTCGATACTTTCCTTATCAAACCTACATTAATTTTTATGCGTGTAGACACCATGTAGGTATTTAATAAATAGCGATAATATCGAGTGGCAATTGCCGGTGTTTAGATATAAATAGGCACTTATCAAATTGTGCTTAGTTCATTGTTAGCTGTGATCCAAAATACCGCTAACGATGAAATTCGCGCTTGTGCTCTTGAGTGTGCTATTAGCATCAACCTATGGTATGTAAAAGTTAATCTGATCCTATAATCCTATAGAAATATTTTATCTGCACAGCTAAGGTTGGTTTCGGCCCTGGTGACCAAGAATGGGATCATGTTGAGGTGCGCGATGGGGCCTTCATGTTCTGGTGGATGTACTTTACCACTGCTGATGTTTCCAGCTACACCGAACGTCCCATCATCATCTGGTTGCAGGGTGGTCCAGGTGCGGCCTCTACAGGATACGGAAACTTTGCTGAATTAGGTCCCTTGGACACCGATTTAAACCCACGTGACTATACCTGGGTTAAAGATGCTAATGTCATGTTCATTGATAACCCAGTTGGTACCGGCTTCAGTTACGTTACGGACTCCAGCAAATACACCACGGATAACAGACAAATCGCTTTGGATCTGGTTGAAATGATGCGTGGATTCTACAAGAAACTGCCTGAGTTTAAGAGTGTTCCTTTGTACATCACTTCTGAGAGTTACGGAGGCAAAATGGCCGCTGAATTTGCTCTTGTGTTGGAGCAAGCTGTTAGGGAAGGTACCATCGAAGCCAACTTCAAGGGTGCTTTGCTTGGTGATGGATGGGTATCGCCAATTGATTCAGTTTTGACATGGGCTCCATACCTTCTACACTTTGTAGGTTTTCTAAAATTCCTTTAATAGTATAAAAAGTATAAAGTTTACTAAATTTTCAGGGTGTGGTTGATGTTGATGGTTACAACGCCGTTGATAAAGCCGCTCAGAAAACCAAGCAATACCTCGATGATGGCCAATTTGTTGCTGCTACTAACCAATGGGGTGAAACCGAAGGAGTTATTATGCAAGAAACCGACTATGTTGATTTCTACAATATTTTGAAGAAAATCTCCTGGTACAAATACAAAAACAAGCCATTCTACTACCGCCTGATCAAACCCGCCGTTAGGGACGATGATGACGACAAAATGGATAAAATCATGCCACAAGTAGCTGAGAAATTGAATATTTCACACCGATTCGACAGTCAGAGCGGCAATGTCTTCAACAAATTGAGTGGAGATTTCATGAAGGCTAATACCCACATTGGTAAATATACCCCAAACAATTAATTAACAAAATATATTATTCTTATATTCGTTTATAATATAGTTGAGGAACTCTTGAACACCACCTCCGTAAAGTGTTTCGTAATCAATGGCCAGCTAGATTTGATCGTGGACACCCCTGGAACTGTCAAATGGGTTGATGCTTTGCAATGGACTGGTAAAGATGGTTACGTTAACAAACAACGCCAATCAATGGTTGTCAATGGAATCATCGAAGGTTATGAAAAGACCTATTCCACTTTTGGAATGTTCTGGGTTAATCGTGCTGGTCACATGGTACCTGCTGATAATCCAACTGCCATGGATTACATCCTCCGGAAATTAACGGATGATTATTCTGGTTGAAGTGATTCCCAAATGATTTGTAATAACCCACTTCACATACGTTATCAATCAATACGATTTATTTATAAACCACTTATAAAATATTTAATTAGCACGTGTTCAAAATGTTTCAATTTGTTAAACAGGTACGTGAAGTACCTATCAAGATAAAATCTGTAACTGGAGTCCAAAAGTAAATCATTGAAATATGTAGTACAATGATTTAGGTACCTGATACCATCTTATCACACACTTGAAGATCTTTTATATATAAATGTTATTTCCCAAACAAAGCAGTTGATCCCTCAATATGCTTGCAAAACTTATATTCGTCCTTCTTACCCTAACTTTGGTTCAAAGTATCAAGTATAACATTAAATTAATTGCAATCAATTAACTCAATTGTGTTTCAGGCCGGGAGGGTTATGGACCTGGCGATCAAGATTGGGGCTATGTTGAAGTTCGACCCTATGCTAATATGTTCTGGTGGTTACATTACACCACCGCTGATGAGGTATCAACCAACCGGCCTTTACTAATATGGATTCAAGGTGGACCTGGTGCATCATCATCTGGAGAAGGAAACATTTATATGTCTGGGTTGGTTGATGAGAATCTGGAACCTAGGGATTTCTCCTATGTGCACCTCGCAAATATGCTCTATGTGGATAACCCGGTTGGGGCTGGTTATTCTTACGTTGACGTTGAAAAAGGAGGAAAGTTTGCAACAAACATGACAGAGCTTACAAGTGACTACATTGCATTACTCCAGGGTTTCTTCAAAGCGCATCCTGAATTTGAGGAGGTACCTCTTTATTTGTTGGGAGAATCGTTTGGAGGTAAATTTGCTCCTGCTTGTGCACAACGTATTCATGAAGAGGTTGCAAAAGGAAACTTGAAGGCCAATTTACGAGGTGTAGGAATGGCTTATCCTGCAACTAAATTAATTAATAATATTGCTTTCATGGCTGATGAACTTTTCCATGCGGTAGGAACAGAAATTAAATATATTTTTAAGCATTAATGTTATAATAATTTCAGGGTATTGTTGATTCGGATGGTTTTAAAGAAATACAACAGAGGTCAAACTCAATTCTGGATGCTTGCATTGAAAACCGATGGGTGGAAGCAGGGGACCTGCTAGATGAACTTCTTGATCATGTCATTGCAACGTATCATTTAGAATTCTTCAGTGTTACTGCCAATTCTCTGAATGAATTTGATTTATCCGAGCTTAATTCCTTCATGGATGAAAATGTCAGTCCACTTTTAAATATTTCAATACCATTTGGTACTCAACGTGACTTGGTATCAAAATCATTGGTTGATAAACTTCAGCCTACGTCCAGTTCGGTAGAGTATCTCCTTAATAATACTGATATCAAAATTGCCATTTACAATGGTCAATTAGATTGGGTTGTCAACACAGTGGGAACCTATAGTTGGGTTATGGCCCTAAATTGGTATGGGGACGTGGCATGGAATCAAGTTGAACGTAAAGCATTCTACTGGGATGGTATTCATGAAGGTCACTGTACTGAATATGATCGATTGGCTTTCTATTGGGTTAAAAGAGCTGGCCATCGGGTGAGTATCTAAAGAGACTTACTTAGAAGTAATCAATCTTTCATCTAAATTGTTTTTTTTTTGTTTCAGTTGCCAAATGATAATCCTAATGCAATGAAGTACATTTTGAAACAATTGATTGGATATCAACCAACTTAACGTAGAAAACACTTCAACTCTGCTGTGAAATGTATAAAATAAATTGACGTTCTTCAAACAATTGTGTTATCTTATCACTTTATACCCAGATAGTTAAACTCGAATATAAATTTATTTGATTCCCATAACAAATAAACGTTTTGTGGGTGACCATGTTTCTACAAGTTGTTTTGCTCTTGATTTCATTGTGCTTAACTCAAGGTTAAATTTAGATACGTTTCATATTAGTGTAAGACATAAACAATTATTATTCCAGCCCGCCCTGGATTTGGACCCGGTGATCAAGAATGGGGCTACATAACTGTCCATCCAAACAGACACATGTTTTACTGGTTACACTACACTACTGCAGATCCTGTATACACAGATAGACCCTTGTTAATATGGTTACAAGGTGGACCAGCTAGTTCTGCAGCAGGGGAAGGAAACATTTTAAATTCGGGTCTGGTGGATATGAATTTAAACATCCGAAACTATTCGTACGTCAATAAAGCAAACGTTCTGTACGTTGACAGTCCAGTTGGGGCGGGATATTCATATGTGGATATCAAAGCCGGGGGGACATTTGCTCCAAGTTGTGATGATGTGACCAAAGATTTTATTGAATTCCTGGAAGGGTTTCTTCAAAGACATTCTGAATTTAAATCTGTACCTTTATACCTACTTGGAGAGTCGTACGGAGGAAAGTTTGCAGCTATATTTGGGGAAAGACTATTACACAAAATTCATGATGGCAAAATAGAAGCAAATTTCAAAGGAGTAGGACTTGCATATCCCGCAATTGATCATGCTAGTTACTGTCATAACATTGGAGAATATTTGTATCATTCGGTGAGTTTTAAATGCCTACGAATGAATAAGCTAAATCCGTTAAATTTTAAAACAATTTACAGGGCATTGTGGATCAAACTGGTCTGGATCAAATCAACCACAAAGCAAACAAAATATTAGAAGCTACTAATGAAAGTAACTGGGAAGTTGGCAATGCATTAATGGAAGATTTACTGGGTTACATGATGGAGACCTACCAACTGCCAATTTTTAGTATTCCGGGTCTTCAATCAAGTAATAAGAGTTATCAAAGTTTGTCTTGGTTTATCGTACAACAATCAAACATTTCAGATACTGAAGAATACCCTGAAGATTTTTATTCCTTCATGGATACTACCATCAGTCCCTTACTAAATCTTACAGTAGCATTTGGAGAACAACGAGGATTAGCAGCTGAAGCAATTCTAGATAAAATGAAAGCAGCGCATTCATCAGTTGAATACCTCTTGGATCAAAACCTACAAGTCTTCATATACAATGGTCAATTAGATTGGCTTGTAACAACAATGTCAACATCTTCCTGGGTGGATAAGTTAAACTGGCACGATGCTCGCAAATGGCCCACATCAAAACGAACAGCTTTTTATGTGGATGGCATACATGAAGGACACGAAAAGCATTGTGATAATTTGGAGTTCTACTGGATCAAACGTGCTGGCCATAGAGTAAGTGGAATACTTATTGATAATCGTGTATGCCAATCTTGTATATCAATCAATTTTACTTTAGCTACCTGATCATAATCCCAAGGCCATGGACTACATCTTGACACGCTTAATTGGTTACTAAACACTTGTTACGCACACAAGGACTTAGCATATTTAAACATTAATAAATAAATAATTTCGACAAGTCAACATTGAAAGCAATCAATCATTATGTAATCCTATCGACAGTTTCTAGTGTTCTACACCTTCAAAACGTTTTAGTAGTTAGTTCAAATTTAAAATGCGTGCCGTACACTCCTCATTGTTTGTAATTTGTTTGGTGTTGACTGAAACCTCAGCCCGAAATGGCTTTGGTCCAACTGATCAAGACTGGGGATATGTTCAAGTACGATCCGAAAGTCACATGTTTTGGTGGTTACATTATGCTACAATTAATAATGCCACCGAAATTACACGCCCGTTAGTAGTTTGGTTGCAAGGTGGACCTGGGGGATCTTCGGCTGGACAAGGAAACTTTATGGCATCAGGACCTGTAGATCTAGACTTGAAGCCTCGCTCTTGGGCTTGGACAAATCGATATAACATGCTTTATGTGGACAGTCCTATTGGTGCAGGGTTCAGTTACACCACCAACAATGGATTTGCAAAGAACTCCTCAATGATTGCATCGGACTTTGTTGAATTGATGAGAGGGTTCTTAAAGGAACACCCGGAATTTGAAACAGTACCGTTGTTTATTCACGGGGAGTCTTACGGAGGTAAATCAGCGGTGTACGTTACTCAAGCACTACTAAAAGCTCAAAAAGATAAGAAAATCAATATTAATCTCCAAGGGATGAGTTTGGTCTATCCTGCTGTTGCTAGTATAGCTAGTATGGAACATTTAGGAACCAGATTATTTTACATGGTAAGCATTATCATATCAATACTATAATGCAAATTTAATACCAGTAGATGTCAAACTACTTTTAGGGTGCGGTTGATCAACAAGAGCGTGATGAGTTCAACGAAGTTGGTAAACAAATTACTGAAGCCTACTCATCTGGCGACATTGATAAAGCTAACCTACTAACTGACCAATTACTAGACCGAGCTATCTTCAATCAAAGTTTAAGCACCCACGCTGTAACTGACAATGATATTTACGGCACCTTAAACCAATTTGAAAAATTAAATGAGTTGATGAATTCCCAAGTGGGTCCTGCCCTCAATATTGCAACTGATTTCGGTGCGCAGAAACCACTGGTACCTCAAAGTCTTACTGATCTGAGCATTCAATGTATTGACATTGTGGAAGAAATTCTGAACACAAGCACCCTGAAAGTTTTTGTCTATGGTGGCCAAGTAGATTGGTTGGTCAGCGCCCATGAAACATTCCTCTGGGTAAAAGACCTCAATTGGTCAGGCAAGAAAAACTTCGCAAAGGCTATGCGTAAAACCATAGTGGTTAATGGTGTTCACGAAGGTTACGAAAAAGTCACTGAACGCCTAGGTTTCTTTTGGATAAATCGCGCCGGACACCAGGTAAGTTATGTTTTAAGAATTTACCGTTTCGAGATTATTTATTGTAATTATTGCAGCTACCTGGAGATAACCCGAATGCCATGACGTACGCAACAGAAAAGCTCTTTGGTTAGATATCACGGAAGCATGAGCTGCAACGCACCGCATGCATAATGTTACCGTTACAGGTTGTAAATGTAATTAAACGCGTAGTATGCAAGTTGTTTATCATGTTGAAATTCTTCAAAACTTCGTGGAATCATTAAAGAACATTTCGCAGCGTTTCCAACTCCTAATGAGCTTTGTACCTTGTTAACAGTGACACACGCACATCACACCTGGCGTAATCAAATATTTTAATTAACATTTTTTCGTGGAATAGTTAGATATGTGTCATTCCGAGCATATTCAAAGCAGTAATGTGTAGTTCAAGTTCAAAATTCATCGATTTTTAACAATGCACTGCAACAGGCGACTGAAAAATCGAAATATCGTTCGGCGTGATCGCGATAAGGACACGTTAAGTGTCGCGACATCGCCATTGTACTGTCCGCAAGTCTTATTTAGCATAATTTCCAATATCTTTTGCCGGCACGAGTGGCGATATGAAACACCAACGCGAGCAATCCAACCGACAACAAAAAGATCCGCTATTTTGATTCGCACTTTTTGTAAAATAGTTTAATTTAAAATCCTCCAAGGTATTTTTAAACGGCGGACGAATTAAAAAGAAAAAAACACAACAACGCAACATACGCTGAAGCGGACAGTGTGTAATAGCAATAAATCTATCAAAATCAAAGTGACCTAAAGTCTCGGACCTCGGAATGAAGGAATGAGAAGCGGGGCGAAAGAAAAGACTGTTTGGTCGAATGAGGAACGGACGAACGGGCGGATCGCGATATGATTTACGAGCACAACCTGCCACTCAGGTTGCGCATGTGATTATTATTATAATGACCCGGCGTGTACGAGTATTCGTCGACAATACGCGTGGTGTTTTTTTTTTGCTCGTGTTTTTATTCTTGGTATATTACCTACGGCTATGGCGGGAATGGAATCAAGACTAATTTTCACTCACGTTTAACTCCAAGAGAAGGACACATTTCGAGAAAATGCTCACCTGCAACAAGAAATACCATTATAAAAATCTGTTTAGATGAATGCAATAAATTTAATTATAATCATGTGTTTAACACGCACATCATAAACATAAAACTAAATGTTTCTCGTAAAAACCAACCATAAATTATTACAAACGTTAAATTTAAATTTAAATAAAATTGCTTGATAAAATGTTCAAGTCGAGTAGCGGTTGGTTAATTTATGGTTTATTATTATCGCTTATTTACAAAACAAACCATTAAGTGAATATAAATAAATAACATTAGTTTCATGTCCTGCGCAATCAATTTCACAATTTCATTCTTAATTTTTGCGATGTAAATATCGTTAATTTTCAGTGTTTCTGCGCTCCTGCACATGCGCAACATATATTTCATTCAATTTTCACCGGGCACACAGCAGCAGCGTTGAGAACGTGCGCGGTTAGTTTACGACCGCTATAAAACCGATGCCGTGACTGTTATGTGCATTAAACACGTCGTAAAATCCGTCGTAAAAGTCAACCGACTGGCAATATCATAATAATCGCTTCGAAAACGGTTCAAACATATGACAACAACATCAAACGCCTGGCGCGCGATTTCACTCTCTCCACCAGAGTTTAGCCAAATAAGATTTATTTATTAGCGCCACTCTCGTTTTCCTGCGTGCGCGCCGGCAGAGCTTTTTATGGGCGTTTTATCGAGCTTTTATGATGCGACACAATGCAAAACAAACAAACCGCGCGCCCCGTTTAGCCTTATTAAGTTTATTACGTGTTTAATGCCTTCCCAAGTGCTTCCGATGCAGTCATAATGTAATTTGAATGTGAATGAGCACAAGATGCTTTTATTACACCTCCGACCACTATTAATTAAACCACTTTGCGTTGATACCTGTTGATCTTGAATGCGAGCATTACAAAAATTACGATTTAACGAATTATTTCTTGTTTTGTATTAACACCATCGCGCAGTAGAAAGACCGAAAACCGACTGAAACCAACTTTGTGTAACATGCTTCCTCGCATGCTTTCTTCTATCTTTGATCTTGCATATCTTTTTGGCATTCGTTCGCTTTGGTTCTACCATTTTTGAGATGACGGGTGTATGTGTGCTGTTTGGAACAATGGACTTTGTTCTTTCTTCGCGCCGTATGTAGATGAATGTAAAACGCGGTCTCAAGTGTTGTGTTTATCAAGAGTACGAAAGACGCGGAAGTTTTCATAGTTTACGACCCCATTTTTAAAACCTTCAAACCAACCCACACGAGTTGGTGTTGAATTTTCGGAGGCAGAAATTGGCTAGTTACGGTATAAAACTTAATTAATTCAGCGGCGTAATTAATACGCCTGTTTCGGTGATTTATAACGACAACATTTTTTGATAGCTATCATCAATTATTACCATAGAAGGAGGAACCTTGTTAGATACCCAAGACTTAATTTAATCTGGTTCTCTACGTTATTAACAATTATGTTACAGCTTACTGTTGTAGCAAAGAATAAAAAATGTTTTTTTTAACTCCGGCGGTGTTGTGGTTTGAATTTAGGCGTTGCAGCTAGAACCACTGGCGGCATCTGCGAGCCGTCGGTCCAGGCGCGCTCGGAATAACCCGACGCGCATCCACAACGGATCGATGCGAGTTTTGCAGGCGTCCCGGAGGCGGCGCCCTAACTTTAAGCGTCTCCGCACAGAGGGCGGCACTGCATGCAACAAGCACCCCTCGCGGAAAATGGCCAAACTACCATTCAAAAATTCTGCACTTCAACGCACAATAATGTTTCACTCTTTTTGGTCCCTGGAGAATCTCAAGATTGTCGAGAATAAAGCAAACGCCGACAGTCAACGCATGGAATAATAAAATCGTAACATAACGAGCAAATCACTTCACGGCTCATAAAATCCGATCTTATATGTATACGCACGCGAAGAGAGGAAAAAACCAAAAGCGAAAGGTCGCTGGAACGCTGCTGGATGCAAAGAAAAAGGCAGCAGAAAGAAAATTGCAAAAAACATACGGCGCGATCGGCAGCGCGGCTTTATAGAGCGATAAGGTGGAGAAACGCGGCTCTATCAGCAACTCGTGCTGTCTGACGTCCGTCGGGCGAGCCGGCGGTGTTAAATGCTGACGACTTTTTGTCGTCACGGACAATTTAATAAAATACGATTTCATAAATCGTTGCGCGAGGCGTTTACTTTTTTTATATTATGTTTCGCTTGGCGTTTGCAGCAATGTTGTTTTTATATTTTCAGAATTTTAAGTATTGTATTTATATATCTAGAGAAATACTAGAATTAGATTGCACACAGTGAGGTTTCCAAGCATCAATAATTTTTGTTTTTTCAAAACAAGATAAAAAAAGTGTTTGATCTAGCCCGCTACTTAGAATCCAAAATAAACAAACCAGTATTTACATAATCGCCAAATTACTCAAGTATTACTCTATTGTTTTAAAATGATGAAGATTACCACACCGCACGCCTCAAAATTATAATATTTATGAGGTGTAAGTGTCAATTGCATTTTTATTTGACTTATCTGACCGATGGTAATGATTCCTTTTGTCTTTTGCTTCAAAACATACTTTACGATTTGGTAGTTTAGTGCTGCGTGCCCTGCGTTTGGAAATTCACGCCACCGAAGAGAGGAAAAGGATGGGGCGCCGCGTCGGCCGAAAACGTAAGTCAGATAATCATCTATTTTATGACTGGATAAACGTTTAGCCAAATTAAATGGCTATTTATAATCGCCCACTCTCGGCGGCTGCTTGTGTGTGTATGAATAGATGTGTACCGTATATGTGCACAAAACAAACAAAGCGCGAAACGAAACGAATCGCCGCGCGAAAACAAATGGAAAACAAAGTGCGCATGTAGATGTGTTTGGACGCGCATAATGTACGCTACACACAACAAATGTGCAAAGTGAGCACGCCAGAGATAGAAAGCATTTTATTTATTTTAAATTGTGCGCGTTATCAATGTTTGTCGCGCGCGTACATTTAATGCTAAGCGCTGCTCGCAAATTATCACCCAACAATCCCGAAATTACACACGCCCACGCATCAAAACAACAGATTGTGATTTTTCTCATTTATGTTTAAATTTTCGTTTATCAAGTTTATTAATTTTGTGTCGCCTCCCTTCTCTGAAGTTTAATTTAATGGCTGCCATGCGCCCAGCACATCCATCTCCTTCCAACGCAGTGATTTACCAATAGACCTCTCGTAAAAATTATGGCCGACTGCTCGTTCAACTTGTGCGCATCAATGGGAAGTGAAACTAGGGGATCAGAGGCGGTTGCATCGCACGAGACGCACCCGAATTAGGGCCGAACAAATCCACCCAAATCGTATCTGTAATGGTTGCCACCGTTGCCCTAATTTTCTAACCCAAACAGAAACTACCTGCACAAACCTATTTTTTTTTAAATTAAACTTCACATTAACTTAAAAATAAAGTAATTCTTCAAATTCTCACGGTTAAATATTATTGCTTGTTAACTTTTTAATTAAATCAAGCAGTTAATGTTTAAACATTGCCTCCAAAACGGAAAAAGATTATAATTAATTAAAATTCAGGCGAATTGAGTTCATGTTTCTACGTCTTCATTAAAAAGTCCACGTATGATATAATTGTAAGCGCTATAATGAAGTGTTAATTAAGCTTGAGTGCAATAAACGTCATAAGAAACACATTAAATGAATTAGATAATTGTTTGTATGAAAAGCACATGCGATTTTGAACTTTACCGTCAACTTCAATGAAATTTAAGACTGAATATCATCAATATACTCAAAATAAAATTTAATTAAATAATATTTAATGTGTACTTCTAATTACAACTTCATTATATTTATAATTATTACATCATGACTACCGTTTTTTTTAAATATTTTTAAATTTTATTTGCTGTTAAAACCAACGAAACATTTGTTGGTCTAATATTAATGCCATCGAGTGTTTTAAATCATTTCCATGTCAAGTTCGTCCGTCCATCTGGTAATGAATGGATTCTTTAGTGGTCAGCAATTATGAGCGGCCATTAATTATATGGTAATTAAGCACGAGCGGGCATTACCGATTTGCTTACGCGGCGGAATACGAAATTCGTTGGGGAGAACGATTATTCCCTGTGTTTACTTAGCAATTTTTCATGTTTGGTTAACATTGCCGTA